CTCGAGTACGGATCCTTTGCTTTTAGTAGTACGAGCGCATACTACCATCCACATCTATCAGTAGTTTCCTCAAGGATTGCTTCGAATTCACCAAGTCCCTGCTACTACTGTTGCATACTGTACTAATCTCATCCTAGGCTTACCCTAGGGTAACTCCTCCAACCCACCCTCCACCATTAGCTGCATAAGGAGTCCCTGCTACCCTTACCTAACTAGCCCGCGAGTACCATTATAAATTGCTAAGACCAGATAATTCTTCGAATGAGAGGTCATACCCTGCAATGGTTGGACTCAAACAAGAGCTGCGAAATAAGGCTAGACGTAACCTTATGAAATTATTCAGTCCTCACAATATATAACTTAACGTATTCATTTACTAATTAATTAAAGCTAACCAGAACTCCTAAAGCACAAAGCAAGCAGCATTTGGGCATCGAGTAACCCATACCAAGCATATCCTAACCAGGCTATCCTTTCACTGAATATTCAGTACTATCATGCAGTTCAAAACCACATACAACAGGCATATCAGGCATCCTCCTAGATCCTTATCCCTAATCTAGCATGCAGTTCTCATAATCATATCATAACATAACATAAAATGTATGGGTATCTTGGGGAAAACTTACTTGAGCTCGGTCGGTTGCACGCATCACACAACTTGTTCTTTCTCAAAACTCTTTATTTTAACTGTTGGAAAGACTATTTTCTTGTTAAAATCTTTCAAACCCTAGATTTGTGTTCAGACACTCCCGGAGGTGTGTTTGAATCCCTCAAACCAAGACTTTGATACCAACTTGTAACATCCCAAATTTTGAGACCAAAAATTTCATTTTAATAAAGCGGTTTATGAAAAACATTTGTAATAAAACATCACCGATTAACATCCTTTCGTAAAACATAATCACTTGTCTCAAAAACCATATCATACAAATAGTAATGTTGTCAGAGGACAACCCCAAGAACGTCATAGTGGTAAAATCATGTGTGTATGTGTGATGCGCTGCTACTGTGTCGACTCCTTTCCCTTCGACGAAGAGGTACCTAAAACAAAACTGAAAACTATAAGCACGAATCTTAGTGAGTTCCCCCACCATACCACATACCACATAACATAAATACTGTCGGGCAATTCTGGGGTGCCCGACCTACCCTGTCCGGCCATTCGGGGGCGCCGACCTACCCTGTATGACAATTCTGGGGTGCCGACCTACCCTGTTTGGCAATTCTGGGGTGCCGGCCTACCCTCCGGTTTATCCCAACCAGCTACGCAAACTATTTCACCGCCTACTACTACCACCTAATAACAAAGCATAAACATATTGTCAGACATATCTGGGGTGCCCGACCTACCCTTTGGTCCTTTACTATCACATAACATTGTATCATGCTAGCACATAATCATATCAGATAACAACATACCAAATAATTAACACGAAGAAAATTATCTCTACTAAGACTCTTACTAGTGGGTCGGCCTTGGTGCCTTAGACTCACTTCTACTGGAAGGTAACTCACCTCAATGTTGTTTTGTATCTGAATTGTCCTCGATGTCGGGGTCAACTCCTATCAACTCCCACACATAATAACCTTCCTTAATTACCACTTCATGCCTTTAACCCTTTTTAAGGGTCAACTCAAGTCAAAGTCAAAGCCAAGGTCAACACCTTAGTCAAAGTCAACTTCGGGCCAAAGTCAACATCTAGTTGACTCAACTCGCCGAGTTGACCCACTAACTCGCCGAGTTCCATAATTCTTAGAATGTTAAAAGTTTCAACCTTTCTCATCGAGTCTTTCAACAACTCATCGAGTTCTCCTTCATACAAGTCGAGACCTTCTATAAATGACTCATCGAGTTCATCATTGAACTCGTCGGGTCCTGTTCCTTGTAAGTTGGCACGTCTAGTCCTGGACTCGCCGAGTTCTTCTTCATGCAGTTGAGACTTAGCCTTGAACTCGCCGAGTTCCATGAACTTCAGGTCCACAATGAACCCAACTAGTCGAGTCTTCTTTTAACTCAACACATTGCTCATTTTCTAAATAGGTTTGGGGGAAACTACGACCCGACTTGCTGAGTCGTATGAGCGACTCGCTGAGTCCCTCCATGTCCAAAACTATCCAGTCGATTTCAGTTGGCCTTAATACATTCAGAACATAGATCTGACCTCCTAGGGTCCATATTACACGTAAAGTTACAAACTAGACGTTCATGCATGGGGTATTTGGCTCAAATGGTCCTATAAATAGGTTTATATGGTGCATGGGGTCCCTTTAAGGCTCTGGATACGAAGTTATAGCTCCCAATCAAGCTTGCACCAATCAATGGTTCCATAAAATGCTCCATAAAACCCTAACTTACCGCATGAACAGTCTAGGGAAGTAATAAGCAAGGTATAGAGTTTATACCTCAAATGAGTTGGAAAAGTTACACAATCTCTGGATCTACTTGCTTCCTCAAGAACCTACAAGCTTTCTCTTCCTTCTCTAGCTTCAAAATCACCACAAACACACAACTACGGCTCAAGAATACTCAAAATGGGCTAGGGTTTCGTAAATGTTGTTTGGAGGTGATGGAGGTTGTAATGAAGGCCAGTTAAGGTGTTTCAATAGGGTGAAAACCCTTAAAATTAGGGTTTCACCCAGACAGGCCTACTCTTCACGTCGGGGCATCTGAATCGGCGAGTAGGTCCTTCCACCCGCGTCCAAAATTTGCTTTGACTGGATGCATTGGGGCCTCCAATTCGCCAAGTCCCAAACTAAAATGCAAAAGTTCATATTCAAAAATACGTACTAGGAACCGGGCGCTACAGACTGAGTACGCCCAACGAACTCAGTGAGTATGCTAAGCGTACGACCAAGAAACCCAGTACACCCCGCGTACTGACCCTACCCACAACCAATCTAGAAAACCTCTTAATCCCTTAAGCCAAGACGTCCAAAACCTCAAAATAGCTAAATATAATTGACTTGGTCCATAAAATTGAAGGCTTTAAACCTTTACATAACTTAAGCCCAACACCAAAGATGAACTCTAAGGGTCAAAATCACTACCAAAATGTTACAAAAACTTCTTAATACCTAAGACCTTAGTCCAAACTTCCAGATATGATTCAAAGGGACTTCTTAAGTCATAAAGTTCCTAACATTATGACTTAACATGAATTAATGGAACCCAAATCAAAACCCTGAGTCCCAAGCTTCACCAAAAGACTACCAAATCATGCATGGAAGGTTTATATTCATCAAGATCCAATCTTTATGCCTCCATAACCCCAACAAGGGCCAAATATGATGCTCAAAGGTTCTGGAGTAACTTCTACTCACAAGAACCACCACAAAGGTACCAAAATCATAACAAAATGCCACCTAGTTAGATCTATAAGAAAGACTTGTTAAGGTTGAGACTTTATACCTCCAGAAGTTAGATCTAGGTGAACAAAACCTGGATCCAAAAGCTCCAAGTCAAGCTAATGATTCTTCAAGAAGTTCCTTCTTCCTCCTCAAGCACCAAAAACACACATAAATCACTTTGAAGCTCACAAATGGGGGCTAAGGATCGATTTCTAGGGTTTAGAGGGATGGAGGCTGAAGATACTAGGGTTAGGTTATGAGATAATGAGCTTAAACAGGATCCACGACCCTAAAATAGGGTTTGGGTCTGGTTGGAGTTCGCCTAGCGTACATATGATACGCCCAGCATACTCCGAAGAGCATTCACGACCATCCTTGTCAGTACGCCCAACATACACCAAGGTACGCCCAGTGTACTGCCATTTTCACTAGTACGCCCCGTGTACCCTTTGCGTACACCCTGCGTACCCGGCTAAACCTTAAAACTAACAAACTTCCGAAGGCCATAATTTTTTTCGTTATAAGTCCATTTCTGGTGATCCTTATATCCACGGAAAGGTAACAAGAAGTCCTACACTTCTATCGACCCATACCAACGTTAAGACTTTCGAACAAAAATTCAATTTCTACAAAAGCCCGAACTAACACTTTACCGAAATACCCCTAGGCTCTAAAACACAAACCGAAGACCCATATCACGTCAATTACATCACTCACACCCAAATGGGCCTAGTTCTCACCTATTCAAAGGCCTTAAGCCTTATGATGACCGATCTTCAGGCCACACCCTCAAATTAGGAATTGATTCGGAACAGGGTATTATAGTAATGGTATATCTGTAAATTCTTTATGACTCACACATGTTAAGGAATCCCCTAACTGTGTAGTCAATCTTTTAACGGTTCATCACGTGACATAATTTTCCCCTGATAATCATGGCCTAAGATCTGTGAAGATCGGTAGGAATAGATATGGATATACTATGGTAATGGTTAGTTTTGTAGGTCTGATAACTTAGGAATATTATCATATCAATATTATAGGATTGTAATCCCTATGTATCTCAATAGGTTTCTCCAACCCGACCCACTAAGTTTATATGCATCACAAGTATCATGACTTACTGAAACTTACTGAAACTTGGTTAGGATGCTGAGTGTTTAAGAGACAACCTCTAATTGTCTTCAGGACCATCATGTATTTACGATGTAACTTATGTATCTGTATTGATTATGTCATCCTTAGGGTTTTAACATTTTGAAAACAAGCAGTTGTCATCAAAATGATCTTTTAAACTGAAATTCTACAAATATAAATAAACGATTTTTAAAACGTAAAGAAAAGTTTTAATTGGTTCCGAAGGATGTCACTACAGTCATCTTCAAACCATGAATAACAACGGAACCGGATAATTTTCATTGAAAAAAAATAACAAAAGCAAACAATCTTACTGATCTGCTAAGGCCATTACAGCTTTAAATCAAGGCAAAGTATGACCTAGACTTAGACCCACATTGTTAAAGTAAACCTAAACAAACCTTTGTTTTAAAAATTAGAAATAAAGTCCTATATCATAACAGATAAATTATATGGAAGATATAGTTTTGAAGTTGATCCGTCGAATTAGACCATTATGAATAATCAAGCACCCACCCAACTTTTCATCGAGATTAGATTCTTTTCATGGGTATTAAGTTACAAAAGAAAGAGTAACTTTACATGTTGCTTCAAATGTTAAGTAAAAATAAAGTTGGAAAAAACATCCCAAACATAATAACGACATCGCTATCCTCATTATACAGTTAAATAAAGATTTCTATGTTGAAATTTTTATGAGAAACAAAGTTTAGTAGTATTCATGAGATGATGAGATGTGTGCCGAATGTTTGTCTACGAGTCGGCTGATCAAGGGAGATTCAACATCTGAGTCTTTGTTGTCATGATACACCGAGACTTTCTCAGAGTTGGTGACAAGTATTACCACCTCTTTACGACTTGACAGCTCATTTGCAACAACCGCATTCATTTTGTACCTTTTCATAGCTGCATCTGCCCTCTCTAAAAGAATCTCTTTGTCTGTCTCCAACTGATCATGAGGGACATCATGTAAATAAATGTAACCAACCAACCCAAACATTTTTTTTATTCAATATTTCTACCGAAAAAAAATATTATTTGTATGCAGAGGGCTTATATATCTATCTACCCTGAATGATACGCAAAATGTTGTGGGGGCCCACACTTTCCGAAAAACAGAAAGCATCTTCGGGAATTGAGCAACCGCATATCCAGAGGGCCATATGCCTACTGAATTTTATGTACTGGCTACATATATAAAAAAAAAAAAATTACATTCATTCATTCATTTACCTCTTTTTACTTTTATATAAAAAAAATATGTATTATAAATATTACCATGCTCTCCCATGGAGCATAAAAGTCAGACACTGCAGCTGCAAGATAAAACATACCACTTTGTCCAAGCATCTTCATTGATGTTGCAATCAACCGTAAAATCTGCTCATTAGTAATTATAGCTGTAATTACACGATGGGGTCATTTTTGCATTTACATTTCCATAATTTGTTCAAACTCACCGTTTTGCAAGGAAAACAACAAAAAAGTCAAAGATTTAGAACGCCAAAAGTATCAACCTTACTCACCGAGTCTTTCAAGAACCTATCGAGTTCTCCTTCATACAAAGTCGAGACCTTCTACAACTGACTTGCCGAGTTCATCCTTGAACTTATCGGGTCCTGTTCGTTATAAGTTGGCATCTCTAGTCCTGGACTCACCGAGTTCTCCATGAAATCATCGAGTTCTTCTACATGCAGTGGGGGTAGGGGCAGTACAACCTTGCTAAAGTGTCCAGTCTTGCCGCATTTCTAGCAACCCGATGATCCCAATCTACAAACTCCCTCTTGTGGCCTGCCGCATTTCCTGCAGCGGCTCTGGCCCGGCTGGCCCTTCAACCTAGTGTCGGATACCTTAGGTCTCTTCCCCGAAACCCCACTAACACGCCCAACCTCTGCCTTCCTCTTCCGGAGGTGCTCTCTGTCTATCTCCCTCTCCCTCATTCTGGCTATCATGTCATCAAATGTCGGTCATGCTGAGTAGCTAACATGTTTTCGAATGTCAGCTCTCAACATATCATGATAGTGGGTCTTCTGCATCTCCTCATCCCCCACATACGGTGGCACCAGCAAATCCCTCTCTCTTTGAACTTGGCGGTAATTTCTGCCGCCAACTTAGTCGTCAATCTCATATCCAGGAACTCCCTAGCCAGCTGCTGAAGCTCCACGGCTAGCACGAGATCAACCCTAAACTGGGCCACAAAATCTGACCAAGTCATAGCCTCAATGGATGATGCCCCCAAGGAATCACCAACTGACTCCCACCAATCTCTGGCTCTATCTCTCAAACATCATGTTGCATACCGGACCTTCGACCCCTCAGGGCAGAAGCTCGTCAACTAAGCAGACTCCATGTATGGGATCCACCTCCTGGCAACAATGGGGTCTTTCACCCCGTGGAAGTCTGGTGCACCGCATTCCCTGAAGTCCTTGAAGGAGAGTGTGCGTGCCCCTGTCTATCCAGATTCCATGTCGCTCCTGAACGCCCTGAGGCGATCCTCCATCAGCTCGATAATCCCTTCCTTGATCGACCCGAAAATCACCAGGGTGGCCTCAAGGATGCCTCTCATGATCCGAGATGAGATGAACTCGCGCAGCCTCTCATCAACTGGTTCGAAAGCCGAACCCGAACCTGATCCTGATCCTAAACCTAATCTCGATCCTCCTACTCCATGACGCGTAATCATCGCCATTCTTAAGTAAAACATACAATTATCAGGGTCATACAAAATCTCGAGAGATCCTACACACTTACAAGTTCCTTGCTTCTACCTCGACCCTCATTGACTCGAGTACGGATCCTTTGCTTTTAGTAGTACGAGCGCATACTACCATCCACATCTATCAGTAGTTTCCTCAAGGATTGCTTCGAATTCACCAAGTCCCTGCTACTACTGTTGCATACTGTACTAATCTCATCCTAGGCTTACCCTAGGGTAACTCCTCCAACCCACCCTCCGCCATTAGCTGCATAAGGAGTCCCTGCTACCCTTACCTAACTAGCCCGCGAGTACCATTATAAATTGCTAAGACCAGATAATTCTTCGAATGAGAGGTCATACCCTGCAATGGTTGGACTCAAACAAGAGCTGCGAAATAGGGCTAGACGTAACCTTATGAAATTATTCAGTCCTCACAATATATAACTTAATGTATTCATTTACTAATTAATTAAAGCTAACCAGAACTCCTAAAGCACAAAGCAAGCAGCATTTGGGCATCGAGTAACCCATACCAAGCATATCCTAACCGGGCTATCCTTTCACTGAATATTCAGTACTATCATGCAGTTCAAAACCACATACAACAGGCATATCAGGCATCCTCCTAGATCCTTATCCCTAATCTAGCATGCAGTTCTCATAATCATATCATAACATAACATAAAATGTATGGGTATCTTGGGGAAAACTTACTTGAGCTCGGTCGGTTGCATGCATCACACAACTTGTTCTTTCTCAAAACTCTTTATTTTAACTGTTGGAAAGACTATTTTCTTGTTAAAATCTTTCAAACCCTAGATTTGTGTTCAGACACTCCCGGAGGTGTGTTTGAATCCCTCAAACCAAGACTTTGATAGCAACTTGTAACATCCCAAATTTTGAGACAAAAAATTTCATTTTAATAAAGCAGTTTATGAAAAACATTTGTAATAAAACATCACCGATTAACGTCCTTTCGTAAAACATAATCACTTGTATCAAAAACCATATCATACAAATAGTAATTTTGTCAGAGGACAATCCCAAGAACATCATAGTGGTGAAATCCTGTGTGTATATGTGATGCGCTGCTACCGTGTCGACTCCTTTCCCTTCGATGAAGAGGTACCTAAAACAAAACTGAAAACTATAAGCACGAATCTTAGTGAGTTCCCCCACCATACCACATACCACATAACATAAATACTATCGGGCAATTTTGGGGTGCCCAACCTACCCTGTCCGGCCATTCGGGGGCGCCGACCTACGCTGTATGGCAATTCTGGGGGTGTCGTCCTACACTGTTTGACAATTATGGGGTGTCGGCCTACCCTCCGGTTTATCCCAACCGGCTACGCAGACTCTTTCACCACCTACTACTACCACCTAATAACAAAGCATAAACATACTATCAGACATATCTGGGGTGCCCGACCTACTCTTTTCTCCTTACGACCGTAATACAGGGACTATTCCCATACTACCTACTATCACATAACATTGTATCATGCTAGCACATAATCATATCAGATAACAACATACCAGATAATTATCACGAAGACAATTATCTCTACTAAGACTCTTCCAAGTGGGTCGGCCTTGGTGCCTTAGACCCACTTCTACTGGAAGGTAACTCACCTCAATGTTGTTTTGTGTCTGAACTGTCCTCGATGTCGTGGTCAACTCTTATCAACTCCCACACATAATAACCTTCCATAATTACCACATCATGCCTTTAACCCTTTTTAAGGGTCAACTCAAGTCAAAGTCAAAGCCAAGGTCAACACCTTAGTCAAAGTCAACTTCGGGCCAAGTCAACATCTAATTGACTCAACTCGCCGAGTTGACCCACTAACTCGCCGAGTTCCATAATTCTTAGAACGTTAAAAGTTTCAACCTTTCTCGTCGAGTCTCTCAACAACTCATCGAGTTCTCCTTCATACAAGTCGAGACCTTCTATAAATGACTCGTCGAGTTCATCATTGAACTCGTCGGGTCCTGTTCCTTGTAAGCTGGCACGTCTAGTCCTGGACTCGCCGAGTTCTCCATGAACTCATCGAGTTCTTCTTCATGCAGTTGGGACTTAGCCTTGAACTCGCTGAGTTCCATGAACTTCAGGTCCACAATGAACCCAACTAGTCGAGTCTTCTTCTAACTCAACACATTGCTCATTTTCTAAAGAGGTTTGGGGGAAACTACGACCCGACTCGCTGAGTCCCTCCATGTCCAAAACTATCCAGTCGATTTCAGTTGGCCTTAATACATTCAGAACATAGATCTGACCTCCTAGGGTCCATATTACACGTAAAGTTACAAACTAGACGTTCATGCATGGGGTATTTGGCTCAAATGGTCCTATAAATAGGTTTATATGGTGCATGGGGTCCCTTTAAGGCTCTGGATACGAAGTTATAGCTCCCAATCAAGCTTTCACCAATCAATGGTTCCATAAAATGCTCCATAAAACCCTAACTTACCGCATGAACGGTCTAGGGAAGTAATAAGCAAGGTATAGAGTTTATACCTCAAATGAGTTGGAAAAGTTACACAATCTCTGGATCTACTTGCTTCCTCAAGAACCTATAAGCTTTCTCTTCCTTCTCTAGCTTCAAAATCACCACAAACACACAACTACGGCTCAAGAATACTCAAAATGGGCTAGGGTTTCGTAAATGTTGTTTGGAGGTGATGGAGGTTGTAATGAAGGCCAGTTAAGGTGTTTCAATAGGGTGAAAACCCTTAAAATTACGGTTTCACCCAGACAGGCCTACTCTTCACGTCGGGGCATCTGAATCGGCGAGTAGGTCCTTCCACCCGCGTCCAAAATTTGCTTTGACTGGATGCATTGGGGCCTCCAATTCGCCAAGTCCCAAACTAAAATGCAAAAGTTCATATTCAAAAATACGTACTAGGAACCGGGCGCTACAGACTGAGTACGCCCAACGAACTCAGTGAGTATGCTAAGCGTATGACCAAGAAACCCAGTACACCCCGCGTACTGACCCTACCCACAACCAATCTAGAAAACCTCTTAATCCCTTAAGCCAAGACGTCCAAAACCTCAAAATAGCTAAATATAATTGACTTGGTCCATAAAATTGAAGGCTTTAAACCTTTACATAACTTAAGCCCAACACCAAAGATGAACTCTAAGGGTCAAAATCACTACCAAAATGTTACAAAAACTTCTTAATACCTAAGACCTTAGTCCAAACTTCCAGATATGATTCAAAGGGACTTCTTAAGTCATAAAGTTCCTAACATTATGACTTAACATGAATTAATGGAACCCAAATCAAAACCCTGAGTCCCAAGCTTCACCAAAAGACTACCAAATCATGCATGGAAGGTTTATATTCATCAAGATCCAATCTTTATGACTCCATAACCCCAACAAGGGCCAAATATGATGCTCAAAGGTTCTGGAGTAACTTCTACTCACAAGAACCACCACAAAGGTACCAAAATCATAACAAAATGCCACCTAGTTAGATCTATAAGAAAGACTTGTTAAGGTTGAGACTTTATACCTCCAGAAGTTAGATCTAGGTGAACAAAACCTGGATCCAAAAGCTCCAAGTCAAGCTAATGAT